TCAGATAGATAGGTAAGTAGATAGATAGATAGATAGATAGATAGATAGATAGATAGATAGAAGATCACCTTTATTGGAGGTGAGGGGTCAGTGTTTTCCCAGCTTTCTTGAGTCATGGCACACATCTAAAATGATTTATAAGGCACAAAAAGGAGGAAGAGGTTCACAGCTGGTGGTGACCACCCCAAACCCCACCCAGAGGCTGATGGGCTATCTCAGGGCCCCAGTGTCCTGGGGCACCACTGACTGAGGCACAGAAGTAAACAAAGCTTCATTGCCATTCCTGTGGGGACTGCACTTCAAGGGTTAGCCGAGCTGATGGCCCCGCAGCTCACACCACGTCCTGGAAGCCAGACAACTGTGCGAGGGAGCCAAGAATGAAAAGGAGACTGCCTCTCTGGCAGAGGCTTTATTGTTGTCTCCTGCTTTATTTTTTATTAGGTAATGAGCTGCTCACCAGTGTGAAGGTCTAAAGGACTTCCATGATCCACAGAGAGGTTTTTCTCTTTCTCCAACTACACTTTGTGGTAACACTTTTCCCCTAAGATAGTAACACCTGCTTTGGAAGTATTTCAGAGATTTTGTTGCCCGTGTCTTCACAAGCTTTTTATGGCTTTGCTGAGCCCTGACAGAATTGCAAATCCCAGCCTCTAGGGTGGGAGAGGGGAGGGGAGGGGAAGGGAGGGGAGCGCGGGGCAGGGCAGGGGAGGGGCAACAAAAATCACCATGCCCACAGATTCGCTGTTTCTCTGTGATCTCACATAATCCTCACAAGCAGGTATTACTCACATTTTTTTGAGAACAGAAAACTAAGGCCCAGAGAGTTGAAACAACTTGTGAAAGTTGAAAAAAATTATTTGATGAAGTGTTCAAACCAAGGACTATTTGATTTCAAAGCCCAAGCAGTACTCTCCATTCCTCCCTGGGCAGATTCCTGCGGAGTAAAGGCAGCGCTTCTGGCAAGACTGCAGGGCAGAGGGAAACACGCTCTTTAGCTGGTCTCAGAGCTGTGCTCTGCACCTCCGGTGTGGAGAGGCCCTCCAGTTAAACCTTCGGACCACCTGTGGTGCCCCTAACACTGATGTCCGATGCACAACTTGCGAACCCAGGCCAGCAGGATCCAAGGCAGCCGCTCGGCCTGCGGGAGGCAGACTTGAAGAGCTATTACAAGGACACCCAAAGTTTTATCTTCATGCGTGTTCATCACAGCGTCGTTTATAACAGCTGCAAATGGGAAACAATCTCAGTGTCTCACCACCGGCAAATAATTAAATACATTAGGGGCACTCATAAAATAAAATGTTGCTCCCATTAAAATTATATTTTCTAAGACAATTACGTTTCCTGCATGATCCTATATTCTCCCTGCATGCTGCAAAACGAAAGAACATTACAAGTTTGACTTGACTTGGGGTGGTAAATGCACAATACAGACAAGGTGTTAGAATCATACACCTGAAATTTATGTAATTTTATTAAGCAATGTCACACCAGTAAATTTAATTAAAAAAACATTACAAGCCGAGTTGAGAAATTTTTAATATTAACTATTTATTAAATATAATTAAATAATAGCACTTATTGAATACATAAATATTTATCACATTTTTGATATAAATATAATTTAACAAAAGGTACTAATTCTTAGAACGTACATACTTATTTATATGTTTAAGGATTTAAAAAGTCATATTTTAAGAAATACCCAATGATAAGAATGTTCACAATATAATTAATTTTTAAAATACATACATGGGAAATAAAACATATATACAATAAGAAAAACACATTGGAAAGATACACACCAAAACATAACACTGATTAGCTCTGTGTAATGAGACTACATTCCATCTTTATTTTATTCTTTGTACATTTCAGCAGTCTTCAATTTTCCTACTTGGCCTACAGTTACTTTGTTCCCACCCACCAAGAGCCATGCACAAGAAGAAATCCAAGACTACAGAAAGGGGGATTGACACATTCCTGAGTTAAATTAGTGTAAGAGAGCCTTATAAAAAGAATATTTCTAAGAAATTTTTTATATATTTATTTTTAGAAAGAGGGGAAGGAAGAGAGAGAAACATTGATGTGCAGAAGTTACATTGACCAGTTGCCTCTCGCACACCCCTTACTGGGCATGTGCTGTGACTGGGAATCAAACCAGTGACCTTTCAGTTCACAGGCAGGCATTAAATTCACTGAGCCACACCAGCCAGGGCTTGAAAAAAATAATATTAAGTAAGATAACATACCAATACTATTGAAGGATAATAGGTCAAAGTTATGTCATGGGGAGACAGGATAATTAGAGCAGGCCAGATAAAGACCTCATTTAAAGAGCTAAGGGAGTTTTATTGGTAAATCAGATTTCACAGAAACATATGTATAGTGTTTGATATTTAAGGCACTCTGCGATGGATAAAGATCATTTTAAAAAGTAACCAAGCTGGGATCTTGTGTGTGACATCACTCTTGATGTCCTCTACATATGGTCTAGATATGTTCCCTCTCCTCTGGAGAACCGAGGAGAGGCAGAGCAGGCGATGGCTGTGATTCCAGATTCCATGTTGGTAACGTCCACGCCAAGAGGCTACTTGTGACTCGTTATTTCCTGGGGAAACTGTCCACTCAGGAAAGTGGAAGACAGAGATGTGGCAAGGGGAGGAGTTATAAGAGTAATGGTGGCAGGTTCTGCATGGATTACATCATTCGTATTCGAGAAAATGTTTTTGTCAAATGTCCACACTCTGAGGCAGAGAGACCCAGACCCTTGAACAGAGCAAAGGGATAAACTTTCCAAATTAGTGAGTGAAATTCTGTTTTTCATTCCATTCAATCTCGCTCCCCACTTCACCACCACAGTGCTTGGCTTCAGGTTTATATCTAGAAATCTGAAGTGAAATTTTTCTTGGAACATTTTCATGGTTGCTTATGCAAGCTTAGAAGAGCACAGATAGTGTAGATTCAACACGCCCCTGCCACACCCAGCCAGTGGGGGGCCCGTTGTGGATAATAGACCCCCTTGGGATGACTCGCCCAGGGGAAAAAATGGACTGGTTTCCTTGCCGATACTGACCTCACTGAGACAAAGAAAATTAAAAACTTTCATTTAGGTTGAGTTACAAGTAAATGTGATGCACACTAAATTTTATATTCATTTACCAAATTTTAAAAAACCAATGATTTGGGATTGAGGAAGATATATTTTAAATATGCTTGGTGTTTGCTGTTTATGATTTGTTTCTTAGCTTTTTGAGGTGATATATCAAGAATTTAAATTGAATAAAATTTAGAAAAGGGAAACAGAGCAACAAATTATCTGGAGTTCATGATTGGTCTTCCATGATGTCAGGGTAAAATGCAAAGAGCAGAAGAGGGAAGTGCGTGATGTTCAATGGTACTAATCACCAGAGAAATGCAAATTAAAACCACAGTGAGATATCACCTCACACCTGTTAGAATGGCTGTCATCAATAAGTCAACAAACAAGTGATGGTGAGGATGTGGAAAAAGGGGACTGTTGTGCATTGTTGGTAGAAATGCAGATTGATGCAGCCATTGTAGAAAGTAGTATGGGTTTACCTCCAAAAATTAATAGAACTGCCTGATGACTCAACAATTCCACATCTGGGAATATATTCAAAGAAACCTAAAACACTAATCTGAAAGAATATATATGTGTGTGTACACACACCTATGCTCATTGAACTGTTATTTACAACAACCAGCCCCAGCATCCATCAGTAGATGAGTGGATTAAAAAAACTTTGGTACATATATGCAGTGGAATACTACTCTGTCTTTAAAAAGAAGAAAATGTTAGCTTTTGTGGCTGTATTCAGAGACCTGGATAGTATTGTGCTAAATGAAATAAGCCAGTCAAAGAAAGACACATACCATATGGTTTTGCTCCTTTGTGGAACCTACTGAACAAAATAAACAAGTGAACAAAATAGCGACAGACTCATGGAGAGAAAGCAGACTCACTGTGGCAGAGGGTATAGGGGGTTGTGAAGCTGGATGAGAAAGGTGAAGAAATTCATCAAGAAAAATAAACACAAATAAATATAAATAAATAATATATAAATTTTAACCATGTGTCATATACACATGAAAACTGTATCATTTTACTAACCAATATCATCCCCCAAACTTCGATAACTTTTAAAGGCTTCTGCTCATAGCAAACAGCAAAGCACAGACAATTGTATCATTTTACTAACCAATATCATCCCCCAAACTTCGATAACTTTTAAAGGCTTCTGCTCATAGCAAACAGCAAAGCACAGACAATAGCCTTATATATAACTTAACAAGGTCTCTTGGCACCCATCCCCTTGATAGTTTTATTGAGCAGAGACTCATCTCTGTCATCTTTGAACAGCAAACAGAGGTTCCAGCCCCCTGTGCTTATGGAAATGTGCATGACGTTCACACACAGACTTGTGTCATTTGGAAATTCCCTGAGCACATGTGGTCCAGGCTCTGCTCCATATGGAAAGAAAAAGGACAGCAGGGAGGGCTGTTCCTTGAATCCTTCTCATCAACCCTGGGAAGGACAGCCCACGTGCCCAGCCCCTGGAGGTTAGGGTTGCCTCAGTGTGCAGAGCTCCATGCGTGCAATGAAGGCACATTCAAACAGATTTTTGAAGTCAAATAAATACATACTTGAAAAAATGACATATATTTATAAAACTGACCTATGACAGTGGGATTTGGAGTAACAGGGCTAGTTCTAACTCTACATTTTTAGCAATCATCACATACATGGATGGTCTAAATGATAAATTTTGTTAAAGATATGAGATATAATCAGCTTTCTCCTATTGATATTAGAAGTTGATTGCCCAATTTGGCTGTTCATTGAGGGCTCAAGTAAGTAGAAATTCTTTAAGGGGACTTTACTTTTAAAAAGATCACCTTCTATTAATGCTGTCCACACATTTGTCATCTTAGTTACTAGTCATCTGTTGGTCTTAGACCTCATCCTTTGTGAAGGCTCAGGGGCATCTCCTTCTGACATAGCTATTCAATGAGCAGATGGTAAGGGGGCCTGTGTTTGTCCCTTCATTTGGGAGGCAAGGGGAAAATATAGGTCTAAGGGCATCTTGGAAAGGGTCTGGAGGGAAGCTGTAGATGAGAGACTCGTCTGTCACATTGTAGAATGCTATGTGTCCAGACTCATAGTCCAAGAACACACCGACCTTATGCACGGGCTCTCTAACATGTTGCCCTTTTAAAGGTGATGAGACCCAAAGGCTATAATCATCTCCAATTTTTAAGCCTATAAGTGAGAAGAGGTCCCCAGGGGGCTTCGGCAGGTTCCCCTTTCTGCTCACGGAGTCCTTACAGATGCCCACTTCCCACTCCGTCTTGTTTCCTACTTCCACCTCCCAGTAGTGTCTCCCACAGGTGAAGCTCTGGGCTCCCAACACGGTGACAGACTGGTCGAATCTCTCCGGGTTGTCAGGTAACTGCTGTCGGATCCCTCCATATCTGACACTTTTCAGATCCTCAGACAAGACGAGGTAGGCATTGGCTGTGGCCGGATCCAGAGTTATGTCCGCTGCAGAAGGAGAAAAGAATGAATCCTCACTGGCATCCTTGAACCCCTTTCCCTCCATACATGTGCAACTACAATTAAATTCTTAGTATTCAGTCCTTTTTTTTTCAATATAAGTTAGGTGGGCATGGTGGGGATTTCTGTTTTTAAAAAAGAATCTCGGAGCCCTTTTTTTTCCTTAACTGGAGAGTAAATTTCTAAAAGAAAACCAAAGACCATCATGTGGAGAGTAATAATGATCCACCCCTTGTCATTTGTATTTGCTTCATCCAAGGTTGGTTCTGATTCTTCAATTTGAGTGGAGGAAATTACAGACAGTAATCATTTACTGAACTCCTACCGAGGAGCCAAGCATCTTCCGTACATTATCCCATCACGGCAGGTATTATTGTTTATCTATTCTTATTAAAGAGAAAACTTGGGTTTGTAAAGGTGAGGAAGCTGAACCAAGACTGCAGAGTTACTGCGTGCTGGAATAGCAATTCCTAATCAGCATGTTTAATTAAGTCATGCATGCAGGCAGCTTCCCAGGGGTTCGGGCAACACCCAGTGACCCTTGGCTAAATGTTCCCTCCCTGGGATTTAAGTTAGTTAGCATTTATCTCAGCAAAGACAGGTGGAAATGCAAAGACCCCTGAGAAGGTGTGTGCCTACAAACATGCAAGGGGATGAGACTGACAACATAGAGCAATGAAAACTAAGGAACGACCATGACTCCTTGGGAAGCAAAGCCAAGCAGACACCAGTCCCATCTCACTGCTTCTGTCCGCTCCAGCGCAGAGATGCTCTGTGGCCCTGCCCTCCCTGGTGCTCCCTGCTGGCTCTGGATGCCTTTCTTCTCTGACAGACTGGCACCCAGATGCTAGCGATTCTGTTAGAAGCTGCCAAAGGGCTTAGTTTTGCATCCCTTGAAATACAGTGGTGTGAACTCTGGAAAGCACAAGAGGTTGGATAAACCAGGTAGACTTACTGCTGAATTTTCTTAGCATCTCCCTCATTCCAGTAATGTGGCACAGACTCAGCTCCGTGGTGGTGGTCTCTGGACACTGAAGCAAGAGCGGCTCACTCCTGCGAGAGAGAAGACCGTCACTCTGTTTCCTCTGCGTGGACCACGTGACCTGCTCCAGGTTGAGAGGCCAGCTCATTTGGTCCCCGCCACGTGGACCCTCTCATCCCCACTCCATCCCCAGCCTATCTCATCAGCACTGCATCCCTGTATTGGACACTACTCAACACATGATGGAAACCTACCTTTCCAGTGCTTCTTTCACCTCCTAAGGGTATAAAAGAAGGAAGGTTAGTATTTGTGCATGTTGATTGCTAGTGAAGGCTGAATCATGTTGGATATAGTCCTTTGCAAATGTGGCAGAACTGCTTCCCACGGCTCTAGAACCCCTTGTATGGGAGAGCACACGGTAGGAAAAAAATCCCCTGCTTCCTCTAGGGGTGACTTCTTGTGAACATGAGATGCTTCTCAGATCACTAGAGATGACTTTGTCCTTTTCTTTTTCTCATATCACTACTTTGTCAAGAGAACCTGTGGCTGACAAAGGGACCAGACTATTGGCTTCATTACACAGTGTCTTGGGGAGTCAGAGACCATTATAGGAAAGTGGCCAGTGCTAGCTGAGACTGAACCCATGTACAGCTAGAGCAGGTTGTGGGAAAAGCATGACATTACATCGCAGCATTTGGAGGAGCCAGTCCAGGACAGAGATCCGATGTCTGAGAGGGTCCGGGAATGCAGTAGCAGCCCAGGACCGCGGTAGAGCATGAAATGGAGAGGGATGTGGGCACAGTGCACAGATACCTGGGTTCTCCCAGCTACTAGCTATTTGAAAGGCAAACTACCTAACTGCCCTAGGTCTGAGTTTTTAAACGAGAGCTGCTATAAACCCATTTTGTCGATGACAATCACCTATAGTACATACCATAACAGTGTTTAACTTCATCGGGCCTTTGTGAAGATGTTTAATGTGCCCAGCCCATAGTCAGTGCTCACTAAACTTGAAGTACTTGACAAAGCTGAGGTTGCAGGAAGGCAGGCACAGAGGAGACTGGGGTCAGCGTCAAGTTCGGTTCACATGGCTATCAGCTGTTTTTCCTCTCCACCTCTTCAGCACTTTACAGAATGTTAATTCTTTAGGAAAACCATCTTTGGACCAGAACTTAGTTTTTTAAGTAAATAAAGAAAATTCATTCGTATGACTTGAAATATTACGTGTTACTACACATGCTCCATTAATTTCCCCAATATTCTTACCTCAAAGGATACTGCGATCCAGCTCTGACCCATGGACTGTATCTGAGCCATCATTTTGCTGAGGCCCCTTATTTGCTGGGTCAGCTTGATCTCATTGTCCCTCAGTTTCTTCAGGTTCTCTCTTTCCTCCTTGTCCAGTAGCTGGAAATGCAGCTGCTCCTCCTCCTTCAAGAACTGGTGCATTTTTGCGTATTCTGACACAACGACCTGTTTACAATTTTTTGTCTCTTCCTGCCGTGACACCCACACCACAATACAATGAGGTTAGTAACAGAATACCATTTGCCACCCTTACAACGTCCTAAAGTTCCACTGGGACAGTTGTTGAAACTTGAGACATATCTATTCTGTTGACTGGCTGGGTCCATAATTTCATAATTTGATATTTTATGTGTGTGTGTGTGTGTGATATAGGCACAGTAGTAAAGAAAACCAACATTTCTATTCCCTGAAGGCTGTCCTTCTAGTGGGGAAAAAACCCAAAAATAAATGAAAAATATATGATGGGGGTGATCAGTACCATTATAAAATACAAAGCAATAAAAAATAAGGACAAAATTATGAAAAAGTATGTTCATTTATTCAGCAAATATTTATTCAATAAAGGTCGGCATTGGATCACATACTAGTGATAGAAATGTATATCACAAATACTCCCACTGAAGGACTCAGAGTTTACTGGGAGAATCAGATACATGTGTATTTTTTAAATATCTAAACATTTAGGTCTTTGCTTTGCTAGACAGCTCACATCCAAAGCTGTGAACGCCCATGAGCATTTGTTCAGGCATACTAATCCAACTACTGTTTTGCCTTTATTTCCCTTTCTCTGTATTTTTTTTTTTGTATTTACACTCTTTTGGGGGGGAGGGGAGGTCCAAAGCTTTTGAAATATTTTTGTTAATTTCTATGTCATGTTACATAAATACAAACTGTATTTTAAACAATTATAATAAGAGCTAAAATAGAGACAGCCTCTGAGTTATACAGGTACCCAACGAGGAAATGCAACACTGGCCTGGGGATGGGGGAACTGAGCCAAGCCTTGAGGTCCCCAGGTACACGAGCAGAGATAGGAAGGCCAAGATTACTGCACACTGTACCTCCATCCTTTCCCCCTAGGTATCCCCTTAGGACTCCCTCCTCACAGAATCATGTACAAAATGCAAAAGTACAGTTACTGACCTTACACAATTTCACTCTCTCCTTCTCATGGGTTAATATAACCTGAGTTTCCTTTTTCTTTTTACTCAAAAGATTTAGGACTTCCCGGAGTTTCTCCTGCAAAGAAACAAACACTCTGTGGCAAGCGAGCAGCACACCAGGTTGCGAAGGGTCTTGAGGACCAATGACGAGGTGATGACTGGGCCACTAAGAGAATGGGTGAAGCTGGATGCAGGCCAAGCGTGTGGTCTGTGACTAGAGATCAGAACCCAGGGTGGTCACCGACAGACAATGGTATGGGAGTTAAGTGACGGAACCTGACAGTGTTCTGAGAGTTGTATCGAGCAGCCAATCTTACTTTGTGATGCTCCTCAGCCTCACTCGAGACATACACTCTGTTTGTGCCATGACACTGGGTCGAGAAGGCGTTTATACCCTGCTCATCACCAGGGAACACCTCGGTGGCTGCCAACATTCTCCCATAGGGGCCTTGTTTGTCCTCACTCTGTAGCACCTGGGATCTGAGTTGCTTGCCGATGCCAGCCAGCCTCCCCAGACGCTCATTGGGCTGGAAGTGAGGGACCTCCAAGGTCCTCCAACACTCGGGACAAGACAGTGGAGAGTTATGTTCCTCCCAGCTCCTCAGGAGACACAACAGACAAAAGCTGTGCCCACATTCAGTGGTCACTGGGTTGGTGAAATAGTCCAAGCAGATGAAACAGGTCAGTTCTTCCCTGAGATTCTCCATCAAATCTGCTGTAGACATTTTCTCTAAGAAGGACATCAGAGCAAGGTCACGCCTATTCTGGAATTAGTAAATTCCTCTCAAGATTCGATTGTTCTGACTAAGATCAGGTGCTGTGTTGTTAGTACAAGAAACTCTTACTCTCCTCTGTGCCTGAGTTCACCAATTGACACATACTCTCCCAACACAAAGCCAATTATGACTTAATGTGGAACTCCTGTGCACTGGTTCATCATCACCCCAAAACTTTTAAGGTCCCATCAACCCAACTCTTAACAGCACCACAAAACCATTTAAACACATTGCTCTTAGATGGGAAGTTTGGGTAATTTGGTATAATCCACTACAGAGATTTAAATCATGGATCTCTAATAATATCTGAATTGAATGTATGGTCCAAATCCTTTGGAAAAACCCACTAGTGGAATCCAGTTTAGAAACTGAAGGAATAAAATTGTGATATCTATTCCTTCCATCAGTAGGGTCTTTTCAGTGCTTGACAAGTCTGAACACTCTTTGCTCCTTTATCAGGTACTGTGTCCTTTCATTTTATTTACCCCAGTAAAATTAGAATAATTCCAATGAAGTACTCCTTGACTTTAGATGTACAATGGATTTCTAGTCACGTTTATTGCTCTCCCCCAAAGACCATGGTATTCACCTTTCCACCACCATAGAAAGCATCTAAAACATCATCCTTGTTGGAAGTTGCCTCAAGAGGCAATTACACTATAGAATGGAGAGAAAGAATTATATTTTAGTATAAATATAGTTTTGCTCACTTATTTTTACTCTTTGAAAATGTCTAGACTGGAACGTTTTAAATCCTTATTAGCTCTTACTGGACAGAAATTAAATGTGCAGACATTATTTCTAGACCTATGACAAAATAAATAGCATGGAGGCTGTGTACAATGACCACTGAGATTAGTGCCAATTTCTGTAAGTTCACGATGCCATGTGCTCATGATTCAGTTCTTCTCTTGGCCTGCCCTCTGTGACTCTATGCCGGAAAGTGGGACCTGAGAAGCTCTTGCTCAGAATCTAACCACTCCCACCCTCCCGCTAAGTTCTCCATACCTTGTTTCTATTATTATGTGGTCACTGGTCACTCTCCAGCTTAGAAACCTCCGCTGTGTCTCCATCACCCATATTATTCCATAAATTACTGATTTTCATGGTTCAACCGAGCCTTCTTTCTACTCATCTCCAAGAGGATGCTGGGTATTTTCTTATCTTGAACTTTTGTAGAAAGACTTCCCCTGGCCTCAAAAGATTCCACCTTCCTTTTTCCTAGTTAAAAGCCATTGTTCCAAAGTCATTAATTTCAAATGTTTTAATCACCTGTCCTTTGTATAGCATTTGTGAATTACTAGGATGAGAATTTACTCTAAGAAAAAAAAAAAAAGAACAACCCGATCTAAGAGTTATACTAGTTTAAATAGGAAGAAAGACAGCATCATTTTGGACTCATAAAACCTCTATTCCTTAGATAGCTTCTAAGCCAGTAACTTGGGCAGAATTTTAAAATATTAGAAGATAGTTTTAAGAAACAGTCTTGCAAAAAATAACATACAACAGCACTAACTGCCTTCATTGGAAAATATGAACGGCCATCTATTCAGTGTGTTGTTCCAACATGAACCCAGGAGTCTTTAATGTTGACTAGGCTCATTAGAATAAGCCTTACAGTAGAATTATGGTACAACACAGAACCTGTATTCCAATTTGGAATGAGGAGACTAGCAAGTAAGTTCTAAGTTGAAGTCATATTGATCTGTTCCATCCCACTTCCCTGTTCCAAATAAACTCCTTTCAGAAACTCCTTAACACAGTAACCATATCTTACTCATCGGCAACAAAAATTCTTTACCTATAGGAAGGGCTCAACCCTATTATAAATAAATTTTAAATAAACAAATAAAGGTGTTGTGGAATTAGAGTCTTTTATCCGGCTGGAAACCAAGAGATTACATAGTCCGAGTACCTTCCACAGTTGACGAAGAAATGTGAGACTTGAATAAATTGAGTTCACCTCTGAATACTTGCTTACTACAAGAGTCAAGTCAGGACTTGGAAATGGGCTCTCTTATCTCCCAGTAATTCTCTTTTGTCAACTCTCTCCCCTGCATTGCACTTGTCTGTGAGTGGATGAATATTTCCATTTATCTCAATGAAATAAGTATTGCTCATGGGCTTTCAGGAGGAAATTGAACAGCTGTCATGATGGTGTGATGTCGTGACAGGTACCTAAAAATCACTGGCTACATGCACTATTGGGGCTGCAGACCTCTTTATCATCTCTCTGACCACATTGACTAAGCTTACTTCATGGATAAAGAAAATTAGAGAGTGCACCAGCTATCCCAAAGTACATTCCACCAACCCTCAAGGCTCTGCACTGCCAGGCATGTTTCTGACATCAACAACTCTGCCTCTTTACCTGTCTTCTCCTGAGGAGACGATAATAGGGACGCCCCAAGAGGTCCACAGTCATAATTTTCGCCCACATGCAATTAGGTTTGGAGTGCAAAGAAAAGAAAAACCTTTAAAAACTCTTGCTCAAGAGCCTGGTTTATAAAATATGTCTGTCATTACATATTGGCATGGAAAAGATAGATTATCCAAGAAATGGTTTAGGACAAAAAGGATAGCCATCTGGAAAAAAAATACTTGGATCTCTACCTAACGACTTACACCAATGTGTGTTCCAGATGTGTGTATGTGTGTGTATTTGCCTTTCCCTACCCTAGTTATGAATTTGTGTGTGTTTTTGTTCTAGATCACCTCACAACTTTTTAGCAAGTAAAGACCATATTTGTTAAATATGAGGCAAATTATTATATACAAAGAATGAAGCACATCAGAAGAGGAGATTTTGGCCACACAAGAGAAATTTAAAAGGTACTACTTATGGAAGACTTTTAAAGCAGGATTCAGAGCTTGGACCCTACTATAAAAAATCAGTCAATTTAAATAAATAAAATTAAAGACTTCAATGCAGCAAAAGAAATAAGTAATCAACTAAAGTTTTTAAAATGGCAATTCAGGAGAGAGAATTTGGAACACATGTTTCAAATACCTAATCTTAAATTATGAAGTGATCTTCCACGACTGCACTACACTTTAAAATAACAGATCTATTTATAGTCACTGATATAATGTAATATCCATTATTTGATATTAAGGAAAAAATATACAAGGTCTGTCCAGAAAAAGTTCAATTGTTAACATAACGAGAATGGGTTGCTTAACATCAATGTAACCTGGCCATCAAGGAGAGTGGACTGGAACGCGCATGCACAATGATGACCTCACTCTACTAGTCAGTTGAGGCATCTACTAGATGCCATTGAGTGAGCATGTGTACTGTGTGGCCATCACATTCAAAATGACTGGGGAGGTAGAACATGAATCTGCATCAAATTTTGCATTAAGCTTGAATGTTCCTCTGCAGAAACTATTTGGATGATTCAGAAGGCCACAGCTATGGGCAACTGGTGATTGGCAGCTTCGTCACAACAAGGCACCTGCTCATGAATCACATCTCATGCAGAGTTCTTTGGCAAGACATCAAATCACCCAGGGGACTCAGCCCTCCTACAGCCCAAATTTGGCACCTTGTGATTTCTGACTTTTCCCAAAACTAAAATCACCTTTGAAAGGGAAGAGATTTCAGACTGATGATGAGATTCAGGAAAATATGACAGGGCAGCTGATGGAGACTGGGAGAACTGTGTGAGGTCCCAAGGTGCCCACTTTGAAGGGGACTGAGGCATCACTGTTGCATGTACAATGTTTCTTGTATCTTCAGTAAATGTCTCTGTTTTTCATATTTCCTGGCTGGATACTTTCTAGACAGACCTCATATATTTGTTTCCCCAAATAGTTTAGGTATAAATAATAAAAATTATGTTATATATGTATGTATTGTTCTCAGATAAATGTGTTTATGCTACAAATGTTGGTAATGAATGTATATACATAAAGGCATAGAAAAACTATGAAATTTCATGGCTATAACACCAAAAGAACAGGCAATAAAAGCAAAGATAGACAAGCAGGCATGCATCAAACTATAAGGTTTCTGTATAGCAAAGGAACAACCAACAGAGTGAAAACATAACTTATGAAATGGGAGAAAATATTGTCAAATCTTCTATCAAATAAGTGGTTAATTTCTAAAATATATGGGGGATTATTACAACTTAATGTCAAGAAAACCCCACCAATAACTCAATTAAAATGTGGACATGAATAGACATTTCTCCAAAAAAATACGTATATAGACCAACAGTAATATGAAATAATGCTCAATGTCGCTAATCATCAAGGAAATGCAAATCAAAACCACAATGACATAGAGTGACATGGCACCTTACACCTGTCCATGTGGCTGTGACTTAAAAAACAAAATAAGTTTTGGTAAAGGTGGAGAAATTGGATCCCTTGTACAGTGATGGTGGAAATGTAAAATGGGGAAGCCACCATGGATAAATTATGGAGATTCTTATAAAAATTAAAAACACAGTCCTGGCTGGTATGGCTCAATCAACTGAGCACTAGCCTGCAAACTGAGAAGTCACCAGTTCGATTCCCAGTCAGGGCATATGCCTGGGTTGCAGGTCAGGTCTCCAGTTGGGGGCGTGCAAAAAGCAACCAATTGACGTTTCTCTTGCACATTGAAGTTTCTCTCTCTGTCTTTCTCCCTCCTTTCCCCATCTCTAAAAATAAATAAGTAAAATCTTTAAAAAAATATAACTACTATCTGATCCAGCAATACAACATCTGAATATTTATCCAAAAAAATTGGAATCAGCACCTTGAAGAGATATTGCATTTCAATATTAATTGTAGCACTATTCAGAATAGCTAAGATATGAAAACAACCCTAATGTCCACTGATGGATAAAGAAAATGTGGTATATTCACATAATGAAATTATGTTGGGCCTTTAAATAGATGGATGTCTCACCATATGCAACAACATGGATAAAACTTGGGAACATTATGCTAAGTGAAATAAGCTAGTAACGGGA